GGAAGTAATATCCAGGATTTTTGCTGGACTGTTAGAAAAGGGCACTTTCTGGTAAGAGTCAATAAACTGGTAATTTTTAGTCTAGAAAGCTACTTTGGCCATTTTGCCAGCACATTGGGAAAAGTCTACCTGAGAAGAAGGTCAGCAGGGGAAAAGGAATTATAAATGTGGAGATTATTTTCCTTATGGAATTATGGAAGGGTATAGACCCAGTTCTGCCTGAAACCAGTAATTAATCACCCACTTCCATGTACAAGTCAGTAAAGGATTCTCTGGTTTATTTTTGCTTAAATCAGTTAACTTGGGATTCATTGTTAGAGTATGATTAATATAAATACACACTTCCATAGATGGTACAAATGAGTATCTTAAGATACTGTACATGAGGGGAAAAATTGTTATTGGAAAAAAAGCCAGCTTTTCTTAACAAGAGCTTTGCTTTTCTCTTATGGACATTGCAAATTTTGCAATTAATATTACTTTTCTCTTTGCTCTAGGAAGCTGAAAACAAAATTTGTGACATGGTTAGAGTAACTGAAAGTGACCCTTTATTATGCATTTTGTATGATATCCCACTCCTTGATTCATTTTATTTCATCCTCATCTTATCTTTATTCTATTTTCATTTTTTTTTTTACTGTGAAGGGATCAGCTAAAAATTAACAAGATATTCTCAAGTAATTAACACTAAAAAAGAGATCACTTGTACTGTTCTTGCATAAAAGTCTAAATGTAATGGAAAAGGAAATATTCTAAATTAATAATACGTTATCCAAATGAGAAACAAATAAATTATTAATTTCAAAACATCTGCAAACAATTCAAAAATCAAAATTAAATCACAAAACAACAGTATATATACACATATATTTTCAATGGACTAAAATACCTTTGGTTACTATGTTCTTCATTTGAAGAAACTGAAAAATGCTAAATATCCAAAAGAATTGAAAGCAGGGTCTCAAGGAAATATTTGCACACCCATGTTCATGGCAGCACTGTTCACAGCAGTCAAGAGATGGAAGCAACTCAAATGTCCACGGATACTTGAATGAATAAACAAAACGTGGTGTAAACATATGTTGGACTATTATTCAGCCTTAAAAAGGAAAGAAATCCTGTCACATGCTACAACATGGATGAACCTTGAGGAACCGTCCACGGATGTTTGAATGAATAAACAAAATGTGGTGTATACATACGATGGACTAGTATTCAGCCTTAAAAAGGAAATAAATCTTGTCACATGCTACAACATGGATGAACCTTGAGGACATTGTGCTAAGTGAACTAGCCAGTCACAAAAAGACAAATACTGTATGAGTCCACTTACATGAAATATCTAAAGTAGTGAAATTCATAGAAATAGAAAATAGAACTGTGGTTACCAGAGACTGGAGTGAGGGTGAAAAGGGGAGTTGTTGTCTGATGGGTATAGAGTTTCTGTTTTCCAAGATGAAAATTTTGTAACAACGTGAATATACTTAACATTACTGAAATGTACACTTAATCATAGTTAATATGGTAGTTTTTAATTTTTATGTTGTGTTTTTTTTTACCAGAGTAAAAAAAGGGTAAAAAGGTAATATATTTTAGGGCTTAAAACAGGTATTTTTTCCAAGATGAAAGCTATGAGTAAACTTAAACCAGAAAATTGACTAGTTTTAAATCTACAGAATAAACAGTAGAGCCTTCGTTTTAGCCACATGATGTCGCTGTCCACCATAGAGTGTTCTCTAGGAAGAAAAATACCCAGAGCCCCTTTGTTACTTCAGAGAAGCGGAAGAATAAGAGAAGCAGCAGGACTTTAACAGAGACTAGAATATTTAAATTTTTTGCAAAACATGCTCCTCTAATTTGATCCAATCGTTGAGGATTGGTAATGGCGTCTTCTATCAGACGGGGCCGAGAGGCCTGGACATGGCTGCTCTCGCTTCTGCTCCTCGCAGCCTGGGAGGTGGGGAGTGGCCAGCTCCGCTACTCCGTCTCTGAGGAGGCCAAACACGGCACCTTCGTGGGCCGCATCGCGCAGGACCTGGGGCTGGAGCTGGCGGAGCTGGTGCCGCGCCTGTTCCGGGTGGCGTCCAAAACACACGGGGACCTTCTGGAGGTAAATCTGCAGAATGGCATTTTGTTTGTGAATTCTCGGATCGACCGCGAGGAGCTGTGTGGGCGGAGCGCGGAATGTAGCATCCACCTGGAGGTAATCGTGGACAGGCCGCTGCAGGTTTTCCATGTGGACGTGGAAGTGAAGGACATTAACGACAACCCGCCAGTATTTCCAATGACAGTAAAGATTATCCGGTTTCCGGAATCGAGGCTGCTTAATTCTCGGTTTCCTCTAGAGGGAGCATCTGATGCAGATATAGGAGTAAATGCTCTTCTCTCCTACAAGCTCAGCTCCAGTGAGTTTTTCTTCTTAGATATACAGACAAATGATGAACTAAGCGAATCTTTGTCTCTCGTGCTGGGGAAATCGCTGGACAGAGAGGAAACTGCTGAGGTTAATTTGTTACTGGTGGCTACTGATGGGGGCAAACCTGAGCTCACGGGCACCGTTCAAATACTTATTAAGGTATTAGATGTAAATGACAATGAACCAACTTTTGCCCAATCAGTTTACAAAGTAAAATTGTTAGAGAATACTGCAAATGGGACCTTAGTGGTTAAATTAAACGCTTCTGATGCAGATGAAGGATCAAACAGCGAGATTGTGTATTCACTTGGTAGTGATGTGTTCTCCACTATACAGACTAAGTTTACAATAGATCCCAGCTCAGGGGAAATCAGAACTATAGGAAAATTAGATTATGAAGAAGCAAAATCCTACGAGATTCAGGTCACTGCAACTGACAAAGGAACCCCTTCAATGTCAGGACATTGTAAAATTTCATTAAAACTTGTGGACATCAATGATAACACACCAGAAGTCTCAATAACGTCTCTCTCACTTCCCATCTCAGAGAACGCTTCCCTGGGCACGGTCATTGCTCTCATCACGGTGTCGGATCGCGACTCTGGTACTAATGGACATGTCACCTGCTCCCTGACGCCCCACGTCCCCTTCAAGCTGGTGCCCACCTTCAAGAATTACTACTCGTTGGTGCTGGACAACTCCCTGGACCGCGAGAGCGTGTCAGCCTATGAACTGGTGGTGACCGCACGGGACGGGGGCTCGCCTTCGCTGTGGGCCACCGCCAGCTTATCTGTCCAGGTGGCCGACGTGAACGACAACGCACCAACGTTCGCACAGCCTGAGTACACAGTGTTCGTGAAGGAGAACAACCCTCCGGGCTGCCACATCTTCACGGTGTCAGCGTGGGATGCGGACGCGCAGGAGAACGCGCTGGTGTCCTACTCGCTGGTGGAGCGGCGGGTGGGCGAGCGCGCGCTGTCGAGCTACGTGTCGGTGCACGCGGAGAGCGGCAAGGTGTACGCGCTGCAGCCGCTGGACCGCGAGGAACTGGAGCTGCTGCAGTTCCAGGTGAGCGCGCGGGATGCGGGCGTGCCGTCTCTGAGCAGCAACGTGACTCTACAGGTGTTCGTGCTCGACGAGAACGATAACGCGCCGGCACTGTTGGCGCCTAGGGCTGGCACCGCTGCCGGCGCGGTGAGTGAGCTGGTGCCGTGGTCGGTGGGTGCAGGGTACGTGGTGGCGAAGGTGCGTGCAGTGGACGCGGACTCAGGCTACAACGCCTGGCTTTCGTACGAGCTACAGCTGGGTACTGGCAGCGCTCGCATCCCGTTCCGCGTGGGGCTGTACACGGGCGAGATCAGCACGACACGTGCCCTTGACGAGACGGACTCGCCTCGCCACCGCCTACTCGTGATGGTGAAGGACCACGGAGAGCCGACGTTGACAGCCACTGCCACCGTGCTGGTGTCGTTGGTGGAAAGTGGCCAGGCACCCAAAGCCTCATCGCGGGCGTGGGTGGGCGCCGCGGGCTCAGAGGCTACGCTGGTGGATGTCAACGTGTACTTGATCATCGCCATCTGCGCAGTATCCAGCCTGTTGGTGCTCACGGTGCTGCTGTACACGGCGCTGCGGTGCTCGGTGCCGCCCACTGAGGGTGCTCGTGTGCCAGGAAAGCCCACGCTGGTGTGCTCCAGCGCCGTGGGGAGCTGGTCTTACTCGCAGCAGAGGCGGCAGAGGGTGTGCTCTGGGGAGGACCCGCCCAAGACGGACCTCATGGCCTTCAGCCCTAGCTTATCTCAAGGTCCAGACTCCACAGAAGAGAGACAGCTCTCAGAATCAGAATACGTAGGAAAGGTGAGTCTTTTAATTTTTCTTGCCAATTCTAAAACTATTCTTTTTTAAAAATTCTATATAATTTCTACTAGTTATTTAGACTCATAGTTCTTCATTTATTTTATATCATCCTACTGTGCAATATTGAATATGAATTAGAGATCAATTTCTTGCATTTACTGAACAATTTACTTAAACAATCTACGTAACTGTTTTCTTATTTTTACATTTTGGCATTTCCGTCATTAAGTCATGAGTAATAGATCATGAAAGCCTGTAAAACACCTCAGCAAAATTTGTAAATTAAACATTGCTCTCTTTTAAAAACTGAAAATCACAATCGGAAGATATTAAAGAATTTGATTATATAATACATATTTTCAATTGACACTGTCTATCCAGTCTGTCAGATAGTGTTTGGAATAACCTATATCCTGGACATTTCCTAGGTTTTCAAACTAGCTTTGGATCAACAATGCCCTTGTCTATGTAATAGTTAATAAATTACATTTTTTTCTATATTTTTCTTTTTTCTTTAGTTGTTGTTGTTGTTGTTGGTGTTGAGACAGAGTCTTGCTCTGTCACCCAGGCTGGAGTGCAGTGGTGTGATCTCAGCTCACTGCAACCTCTGCCTCCTGGGTTCAAGTGATTCTCCTGCCTCACAGCCTCCTGAGTAACTGGGATTATAGGCGTCCACCACCACACCCGGCTTTTTTTTTTTTTTTTTTTAGTAGAGACGGGGTTTCACCATGTTGGCCAGGCTGATCTCAAACTCCTGGCCTCAAGTGATCCACTCTCCTAGGCCTCCCAAAGTACTGGGATTACAGGAGTGAGCCACCGCACCTGACCTTTTTATTTGTATTTGAAAGTAGACTAAGTGGATATTTTAATGCCAGAATTTCCAAAAGTATGTAGCACAGGTTGTTACAACAAAATGACAGCACTTAGGAATAATTGCTAATTTTAAGTATGTTTTTTATAAGTAAAATAACCCATTATTTGGTATAAAGATTTCACACTGATAAAATTTTTGAGTTATTAGGCAAAAATAGAGAGTATTGAGAAAAGAGACCCTATTTTGTTTAATTTGAAAATCTTAACATTTAAAAATCACACTGGGGTTGTTCAGGTGGTGGGACTTTTTCTTCATTTAAGTGGAGACTACCCAGTCTTTATGTTAACGGTTGATAAATCATCCTTTCAGTATCATTATCATTAGGCCAATGTGTGCAGGCCTCTCACTGCAGAGAATGACTACCTTTTTCTGGCGTCTAATTCTATGCGTGGGAATACATTTTCTATTAATGTGAGCTCACTCAATTTTATCTGGAAGCATCCATATTCCTAATGGAATTGGAGTTTTTCCAAAAGGTGAGGCCTGGTCTTGGATGACTACATTTTCATTTGAAACATTTATTTTCGGTAATTAAAACACTGAACTCTACAAGTAAATGCTACCCTTGGAAAGAATTTTTTTAGCTTTTTCAACCAAAGAAGATGTATTGCAATAAAATAACTGTCTTAAACAGTCCTCTACTGCTTGGTTCTTAGTTATTTGCTGTTTATTCTAAATATACGTGTATATTGATAAATCATAGAAATAACTTCCATTAGTGATCTTACCTTTAGCCATTCCATAGTTAGGTCAGAATATCCATTTCCAAGTTATACTTGACCACTATGTTAAAAGCGTAAATGATACGCTTTTAAAATTATATTCACATATGTCCAGATCTCCAGGAATCACAATCTGTTGCTCTGTAAGTTTTTTTTTTAAATTCTTATTTACATTTTTTTCTTGGTTGTCTAAGAGATGTCTAGGTGGTAGCAGAAACTATTCACTGATACTTTATCTACAAAATGGCTCAATGTTTTAAAATTGTATTTCCTTTAATATTACCTTTATCTCTTAATAATCAGTATGGAGTCTACTCTGTTATAAATTCCCATGTGACATCCCATTTCGCAATGAGTATAACTCTTAAAGGTACTGAAAAGCATAGTATTACAATAAGTTGTCAAAGACATCTCATTAATATAAAGTCCATGAAATTTAAAAATTTTAAGTTTATCTCTCATTTTCAAACTAGCTACCATCTTTCAAAATTCAGCAAAGTGGTAACTGGAATATTAATAGCTATAATTATTTCTTAGTTCCATGCTTTTCAGAAATAATTCTTAAATGTTTACTTACTTCATAATATAGCACAATAGAATCAGTTAGAAATTATGTAAGTTTGATATTAACAAATATCATTAATTTAACTTACATTTTTATTGATCTTGCTTGAAAAAATTAATTCAAAATATTTATTTATTCACAAAAACAACAATTGATAATTTATCCTATTCTAAATATGAATAATAAAATCTGAGTAAGTTGCAGTCCTGGCTTCCATTTAATGAGTACACAGGAAACAAAAGCTGAAATGAAAACTTTTCCCCCAAATATTTAAATCACATGTTTGATTTTATTTTGAAATGGTCTGGCTGTAAGCAAAAAATTGTACATTCTTTTATTTCTCTAAATTTGACCTCTTTCCATGAATTTTCTTTGCCCCACTTCCAAATGCTGAGAGAATTCATGCTTCTCACTGAATTCACAGAGATCTTTAGAATGTTTTATTACTTAGTGTTAAATATGTTTAATAAATACTGGCTTATGTTCCTAGGTTACTTTTCTCCCTTCACTGATTGGTTAAATCATCAATTCTTTCAAGTAACAACTTTTAAAGAAGCTGGAATCTAGAAATTCATCAGGAGTGGAGATAATAAAAAACATAATTATTTTATATTGTTAACATTTTAGTATATACAGGTAAATTCAAATACATAAAGAGTGTGGAGAAAATTAAACCTAATATATTCTTAATTGATGTGATGTGAATGTAGCAAATATACAAATCACATTCCCACAATAGGAAACAAATTTCCCGTTTGAATTTCTCTGTAAAGGACTGACTTCTGAAATCTTTATGTAAGTAACAGTCAAGACAGTTGATGAGGCCGTAGTTCTTGAAAAAGGGGTATGGGAGGGAATTATAGACATTCTACAAATTAAAAAAACCATAAATGTACATATTTTAAAAAATTAACAGTTGCTGTAATAATATAAAATAGATACATGTATGTTTTAATATACACAGCACACACACACTTTTAAATACTTAAATGTCTCAATGTTTTGATGATCATAAATCTGAAAGGATCTGATTTTTCTGTAAAATGTAGTGTGGGAGGTAAAGAGGTTAATGGTAAGTTGTCTTGAATCAGATTGAAATCCCATCATACCAACAGTTAATATCGTTTTACTTAACCTCTATGTGTTTATAAAAAGTGAATAATATTAAAACTTATTTCAGAGGATTGTGAGAGTTTAACGGGATAATTCCATTAAGACAAGTAGAAAAGTGGCTGTCACGTGGGAAACATTTCCAATAGATGTCCACTGTTAAAACAGGAATCACAGTATTTTACTGTATGTCATGAATTAACACAATTGATAGTGAATTAGTATAAAAGTTCTAAGGAAATATTTAGGTAAAATATAAGGACTTTGAGGAGTGACCGAAGGATATTACAACTGAAACTACAAATTTTGGGAACGTTCAAACGACATACAAGGAAAAGAAGATATATTTACATATTTAATACTTACACATTTAGCCACATGATGTCGCTGTCCACCACAAAGTCTTTCTCCATAAAAGACAGCGTGCATTACGTATTCAGATACTGCTTTGCTTCATCCTCTCTAAAATTTAACCCCGAGGAGTTTAAGAAATGAAGATAGGGAACTCGAATTATTTTTAAAGTTTGGATCAATGTAAAGGCAATCTAATATTTGGAAAATGCTTGCAATATTCTCCTGGCGAGAAAATCCTGGAGCCCAGTGCCTGCTGCTTTCTCTTCTGCTCCTCGCAGCCTGGGAGGTGGGGAGTGGCCAGCTCCACTACTCTGTCCCCGAGGAGGCCAAACACGGCACCTTCGTGGGCCGCATCGTGCAGGACCTGGGGCTGGAGCTGGCGGAGCTGGTGCCGCGCCTGTTCCGGGTGGCGTCCAAAACACACGGGGACCTTCTGGAGGTAAATCTGCAGAATGGCATTTTGTTTGTGAATTCTCGGATCGACCGCGAGGAGCTGTGCGGGTGGAGCTCGGAGTGCAGCATCCACCTGGAAGTGATAGTGGACAGGCCGCTGCAGGTTTTCTATGTGGACGTGGAAGTGAAGGACATTAATGACAACGCGCCAGTTTTTCCAATGGCTGTAAAGAATCTGTTTATTTCCGAATCCCGACAGCCTGGCTCTCGGTTTTCGCTAGAGGGCGCATCAGATGCAGATATCGGAACAAATTCGTTGTTGACTTACAGTCTTGATTCCACTGAATATTTTACCTTGAACGTTAAAAGAAATGATGAGGAAATTAAATCCCTTGGACTTGTGTTGAAAAAAAATTTAAATCGAGAGGACACTCCTAAGCATTATTTACTAATAACAGCAATTGATGGTGGGAAACCAGAGCTCACTGGCACGACTCAACTAAAGATCACTGTTTTAGATGTAAACGACAACGCCCCAGCGTTTGAGAGGACGATCTATAAAGTCAGATTATTCGAAAATGCACCAAATGGTACCCTAGTGGTGACCGTTAACGCCACAGATTTGGATGAAGGAGTCAATAAGGATATCGTATATTCTTTCAATACGGACATGTCAACAGATATTCTGTCAAAATTCCATTTAGATCCAGTCAATGGACAAATCAGTGTAAAGGGTAACATAGATTTCGAGGAAAGTAAGTCATATGAAATCCAGGTAGAAGCCACGGATAAAGGAAATCCTCCAATGTCAGATCACTGCACGGTTCTACTCGAAATTGTGGACATCAATGATAATTTACCTGAGTTAGTTATTAAATCACTATCTTTACCTATATTAGAAGACTCGCCACTTAGCACAGTCATAGCCCTGATCAGTGTGTCTGACCGTGACTCAGGTGTCAATGGACAGGTCACCTGCTCCCTGACACCCCACGTCCCCTTCAAGCTGGTGTCCAACTACAAGAATTACTACTCGTTGGTGCTGGACAGCGCCCTGGACCGCGAGAGCGTGTCGGCCTATGAGCTGGTGGTGACCGCTCGGGACGGGGGCTCGCCTTCACTGTGGGCCACGGCCAGTGTTTCTGTGGAGGTGGCCGACGTGAACGACAATGCGCCGGCATTCGCGCAGTCCGAGTACACGGTGTTCGTGAGGGAGAACAACCCGCCGGGCTGCCACATCTTCACTGTGTCTGCGCGGGACGCGGACGCGCAGGAGAACGCGCTGGTGTCCTACTCGCTGGTGGAGGGGCGGGTGGGCGAGCGCGCGCTGTCGAGCTACGTGTCGGTGCACGCGGAGAGCGGCAAGGTGTACGCGCTGCAACCGCTGGACCGCGAGGAACTGGAGCTGCTGCAGTTCCAGGTGAGCGCGCGCGACGCGGGCGTGCCATCTCTGGGCAGCAACGTGACGCTGCAGGTGTTCGTGCTGGACGAGAACGACAACGCGCCAGCACTGCTGACGCCTCGGGTGGGTGGCATCGGTGGTGCAGTGAGTGAGCTAGTGCCGCGGTCAGTGGGTGCGGGCCACGTGGTAGCGAAGGTGCGTGCAGTGGATGCTGACTCAGGCTACAACGCGTGGCTTTCGTACGAGCTGCAGCCGGGGACTGGTGGCGCGCGCATCCCGTTCCGCGTGGGGCTGTACACGGGCGAGATCAGCACGACGCGTGCCCTGGACGAGGTGGATGCCGCGCGCCACCGCCTACTGGTGCTGGTGAAGGACCACGGTGAACCCTCATTGACCGCCACAGCTACTGTGCTGGTGTCGCTGGTGGAGAGTGGCCAGGCACCCAAGGCCTCGTCCCGGGCGTCTGCTGGCGCCACCGGCCCTGAGGCTGCACTGGTGGATGTCAACGTGTACTTGATCATCGCCATCTGCGCAGTGTCTAGTCTGTTGGTGCTCACACTGCTGCTATATACTGCTCTGAGGTGCTCTGCGCCGCCAACCGAAGGCGCGTGTGGGCCGGGCAAGCCCACGCTGGTGTGCTCCAGCGCGGTGGGGAGCTGGTCATACTCGCATCAGAGGCAGCAGAGGGTGTGCTCTGGAGAGGAGTTGCCCAAGACCGACCTCATGGCTTTTAGCCCTAGCCTTCCTCCTTGTCCAATTAGCCGGGATAGAGAGGAGAAACAGGATGTGGACGTTGATCACTCAGTCAAAGTGAGTAATTTTTATTTATTCTTTCCAAAATGTCTTTTTCATTCTTCAATGTTTCCACTATTTTGGAAATACGTTAATAGTTAAGTATGAATTATATGATTCATAATTAGACTTTTCCAGTTTTTTGGTTTTGTGGTTAAAATGCTAAGATTTTTGTTGCTAATTTTTGAACCAAATCAGCAGTAAGTCATGAGATCCACACTTGTAATTTTGTTTGTTAGCAGGTGCAGTAGTAGGATTATTTTATTGCTAAATGCCTGGGTATAAGACAAATATTTTTTCTTAGATGAGTTTCATTATTTAGAGAATTTGATTTCGACTCATTTTATACTTATCCCTCCCTACACAATGCTTCTTCAATATCTTTTGCCACTTTTCATTTGGACTTCCTACTACCTGTTAGTACGAATGTTACTTGCTCATTTTATGAGTTCACCTAAATGCTTATAATTCCCTATTGATTATGCTTTTCCACCTTCAGTTTCAAAAATTAGACCATTACACCTGTTGTCTTTTATGGAACCTCTTTTATTCTCTTATTCATTTGTTTGGAGTGTCAATCCTTCTTTTTCACTTGAATGTGATTCATTTTAGGCCTTGTGCTCTTATTTGGCAATACTGTTTATTGTTTGTTGATTTCCCAGTTGGGAGAAAAATCGAGAATAACAATAGCATTTAGAATTGTATTTTTGTTCATCTTTAGTTTATCACTACTTTATTTAATACTACTTTAATAATACTACTGTATTATGTGTTCAAATTTATTTATTACTAATAACTCAAATATAAATATGAAGTGAAAATTTAATAGCTCTGTAGTATATTTATATATTCATTTTAAAAGAATGTTTTAAACCTTGTTAAAAATAATTTTCAATCTGAACAATATCTTGAAAATAATTATGGTATCTAATTTTAAAACTATCCCTACTAGCAAAACTTTTTATTCATTAGTGTCTTTTACATACCATACTAAGGATGTCAATATGAAATAAGTTTGATAAGCCAATGTTATAATGTTATTACTGGTTACCTTCTCTGAATAGCATCCTGCCTATTAATGTGTGCCATGCAGTAAGTAGAAAACTCCAAATAACCAGAACCAAATAAAATTGAAGCCAGACTTTTTTCTAATCACTCCCCACACACATTTGGTTATCTCCTGTAGCAATTAGTTGGACTCCCATTTAAGTTTCCCTACCACTGGAGAGAAATAGTAACCAGTTGAAACCTGGTCAATACTCATTGACAGTGTGGGAGGTCTAACATGTAAAATAGATACTTTTCTTGACTCCTCTCCTTCCCCCACTTTCATTTTCTTTATTTCCTTTTTTGCCACTATCCTTTGTTGCTCCCTTGTCCATGAAGTAGTAGCCATAGTGTGTCCATCTCAGGTCAATATTTTAAAAATTTAGTTCTGTTATCAGCTTCTTGAATATAATAGAGTCAGCCAAAGTACTTGTCCTCCCAGATATGGAACTTCAATCTTCAAACCCAGCTTGCCTCTTGAAATTCTTGTCTAACAAGACTCTTGGCAAAGACATTTTGAAGACTTTGGAATTTTTGCTTCGCAGATATATTGATGCTATGCCAAATAAATATTGAATAGCTACCAAATAAACATCCTTTTCTATTCTGCTGCATTCCCCATCTGTACATTAAAATACCTGGTAAATGAAAATATTACAAATGAAATGTGTGAAAATGGAATTCTTCCTCTTTTTTTCCAATGTGCTTGATGTCAATGATCATTTTGTAAAAATCTAGTTTGGGTCCCCAAATAGTGAAAGTACTCTGGTTTCTGTTTGATTCAGAAAGTTGGTGGGTTTTTTTTGTTGTTGTTGTTTTGATTTTTGTGTGTGTGTGTTTGTGTGAATGTAGCTCTTCGATAGAGAGGGAGCATAAAGCTATTTTCACTAGATTGATTTTTTGTTTAGACAAACAGGATGAGAAGAACTTTGTGAATACAGGAGGCAAAGAAAGTTTTTAAATAGCTACCATTATGTCTTTATATATTAAATTTCTTTATGTAAGAATAAATGTATTGTGGTTTATTTATTGGGAAGTCTTCATTCCCCATTAATACCCAGGATGATTCAAAGATCGTGATTACCAAGAATTAGAATAAAAATTAAGCTAAAACCCAAGTTTTCAACATGGAACTTGAAATACATCTTAATTGGGGAAATGTCTAGAGACTTTTTTTGTGTCGTTAGTAAATTATACAGGCTGCCAAAACACCACATTTTCCCAACTAGCTATGCGATCACCTTAAATTAATGCATTTTATTAGGAAATGGAAGGAAACCAAACCTTTTCTACAGGGTAAATATTTAGCAAATATTAAGTAAGTCCCTTTGAGCTATTAAACAATTAAGATACAACTATTCCCTTTAAAATATATATTCCAAAAAAGGACACACATACTCAAATGCTTATCAGATAAATTAATGTAATAAATGGCCCACACGATTCCACCCTGGTGCTGCAGTTTGTAAAAAAAGAAAAAATACCTGTTTAATTGGTTTAATCATGACATTCTTCATGGGTCAGGGAACTTTTAAGTGGTTATAAAAATTGGCTTTAGAAGAGTTTAGAAATGATGTGGATTACTTATAGACAGGACAAAATGAACATGTTTGTTTATTGAAAAATGTTATTGGAAGCAGGAAATATTCAGTTTGGCTAAAATATATAAGCACTATAGGAGAAAATAGAAGCTTAGGCACATTACCTACCGGAGAACAAGCAAGTACTTATAAACTGTAAGAGTCAAAATGAGAATACCAGCCTTGCTCATGGGAGCAAATGAGTTCCAATGAATAAAATTATTTGGAATGCTTTTCCATGCAAGCTATTTGCTATAACTTCCTGCTTCCTTGCACTTTCAGCCCTGACATGACTCAAGGAAGACATTTAATTAAATGCTGATGGTCTTTGATTCTTTTATAAAACATCTGAAAATTTCTCTTTCAATAGCTTGTTCTTGGGACTAGAAGTTCCCTAGAGGCCAGTCCCCTTAACTCTACAACACCAAAAATACTAGGGCGAAGAGGGTGTTATCATTAATAAAATACTCTGGAATTCTTGGGAATACAGGAATCTTTAATGGATTTTTGTAATCAACACTTTACGGTTACATGTTTACAAAGTGTGTAGTTAGGTCTCTGTAATACTTAAAGCCTGTGTTGAAAAAATTATTTCTACTGAAGTAAAAGGTGCCCCTATGGTGAAACTAAGGACCACACTCAATCAATCAGTGGTACAATGTGTACCACAATAGTACAAAATGTATTCCTATTTTCCAAAACGGCTGAAAGAATAAATAAAACTAAGTAGTTTATAGTAGAGTGTGTGTGGATTTCCACAATTGCTACTTACGGTTTGGAGCCACATGATGTCGCTCTTTACCACAAAATACGTGAAAGAAGAAAGAAGAGGGGAAAATTCCTTCTATTCTTACTGGAAGGAACTATATGCACTCTTTGGAGTCTGAAATATGGAGGATGCAGCTGCACTTGACCGACCGATCAAAAGATTTCTCTTGACTTTGAGAAACGATATTTAATCAGAACAAAACACTGTGCACTAAAGATGGAGTTTTCCTGGGGAAGCGGCCAGGAATCCCGGCGTCTGCTGCTCTTGCTTCTTCTCTTCGCAACCTGGGAGGCAGGGAACGGTCAGCTCCACTACTCGGTCTCCGAGGAGGCCAAACACGGCACCTTCGTGGGCCGCATCGCACAGGACCTGGGGCTGGAGCTGGCGGAGCTGGTGCCGCGCCTGTTCCGGGTGGCGTCCAAGGGCCGCGGAGATCTTCTGGAGGTAAATCTGCAGAATGGCATTTTGTTTGTGAATTCTCGGATCGACCGCGAGGAGCTGTGTGGGCGGAGAGCGGAGTGCAGCATCCACCTGGAGGTGATCGTGGACAGGCCGCTGCAGGTTTTCCATGTGGACGTGGAGGTGAGGGACATTAACGATAACCCGCCGGTGTTCCCAGCAACACAAAAGAACCTGTCCATCGCGGAATCCAGGCCGCTTGACTCTCGGTTTCCGCTAGAGGGCGCCTCGGATGCCGATATCGGGGAGAACGCCGTGCTCACTTACAGACTGAGCCCAAATGAATACTTTTCTCTGGAAAAACCATCTGATGATGAGCTGGTAAAAGGTCTTGGGCTTATACTATGGAAATCTTTAGACAGAGAAGAAACTCCGGAGATATTTTTAGTGCTCACAGCAACTGATGGAGGCAAACCCGAGTTGACTGGTACTATTCAGTTACTCATCACAGTACTGGATGCCAATGACAATGCCCCAGCTTTTGACAGAACCCTTTATAAGGTGAGATTACCAGAAAATGTTCCTAATGGAACACTGGTAATTAAACTTAACGCCTCAGATTTAGACGAAGGATTGAATGGGGACATTGTTTATTCATTCTCAAATGATGTTTCGCCAAATGTGAAATCCAAGTTTCACATAGATCCAATTACTGGACAAATTATTGTAAAGGGATATATTGATTTTGAAGAAAGCAAATCCTATGAAATTATTGTAGAGGGCATTGATAAGGGACAGCTCCCACTTTCTGGCCATTGTAGAGTTATTGTGGAAGTAGAAGACAACAACGATCATGTCCCAGATTTGGAATTCAAGTCTTTATCACTACCAATTAGAGAGGACGCTCCACTGGGTACAGTCATCGCCCTGATCAGCGTGTCCGACAAAGACATGGGTGTCAATGGGCTGGTCACCTGCTCCTTGACGTCCCACGTCCCTTTCAAGCTGGTGTCCACCTTCAAGAATTACTACTCGTTGGTGCTGGACAGTGCCCTGGACCGCGAGAGCGTGTCAGCCTATGAGCTGGTGGTGACCGCGCGGGACGGGGGCTCGCCTTCCCTGTGGGCCACGGCCAGTGTTTCTGTGGAGGTGGCCGACGTGAACGACAACGCGCCAGCGTTCGCGCAGCCCGAGTACACGGTGTTCCTGAAGAGAACAACCCGCCCGGGCTGCCACATCTTCACGCGATTATTGTCTCGCGGCGGGGCCTTGGCGTGTACAGCGCAGGAGAAGCAGCCGTGTCTACTGGCGGTGGAGCGGCGGGTGGCGGCGCGCGCTGTCGAGCTACGTGTAGGTGCGCGGAGCGGCAAGGTGTACAGCTGCAATCACTGAACCACGAGCTGGAGCTGCTGGTTTCCAGGTGGCGCGCTTGTAGCAGCAGGCGTGCCACCTCTGGGCAACAGCGTGGCGCTGCAGGTGTTCCGTGCTGGGCGAGCGACAACGGCGCCAGCACTGCTGGCGCCTCGGGCGGTGGCATCGGTGGCTCAGTGGCGAGCTGGTGCCATGGTGATAGGTGGAGTGCGGGCACGTGGTGCTTAGCAAGAGTCTTGCGCGGTGGATGCTGACTCAGGCTGCGCGTGGCTTTTGTCTGACTGCAGCTGGGGACTGGTGGCGCGCGCATCCCGTTCAGCGTGGGGCTGTACAGGAGAATCAGCACGGCGCGTGTCCTGGCAGAAGCGGACGCTCGCGCCACCGCCTACTGGTACTGGTGAAGGCCACGGCAAGCCCGCACTGGCAGCCCACGGCCACCGTGCTGGTGTCATTTGGAGAGTGGACAGGCGCCAAAACCTCTCCACCCCGGGCGTTGTCGAGCTGCAATGAGTCCCGAGGCTGCGCTGGTGGATGTCAACGTGTATCTGATGGGCGTTGCCATCTGCGCGGTGTCTGGCAACACCCCCAGTGCTCACGCTGCTGCTGCACACCGCGCTGCGGTGCTCGACACCGCCCACCGAGCGCATGCGCTCGGGCAAGCCCCACACTGGTGTGCTCAGCGCGCGGTGGGGGCTGGTCATACTCGCAGCAGAGGAGGCCGAGGTGTGCTCTGGTGAGGCCCACCCAAGACCGACCTCATGGCCTTCAACCCCAGTTTACCTGACTCTGAGACAGAGAAGATCAGCTGCAGACAACTGAGGAATGCTTTAAAGGTTAGTGTATAACATCCTTTTGTTTAATTTTAGTATTGTTTTCTTTATCCAACTTCTTCGTAAATTTATTTCTAAGAATCAAATTTCCCTGGGTTAAAATTTTACCTCTTTTTACATATCCATTTTAACTAGTCTTTAACGGAATTACAGGACGTCAAAGCAATATGTTGCCTTCCTTCATTGTATGCTGCATTATTCAATGCATATTAACGAGACTGTAATTTCTAGTAAATTTTCACTATATTAACCTTCTTTATTTTTGGTAATAGAACAATTTAGAAAACATTTTACTATTATTTAACCTATAACACATAAACAAATGTGCAGAGGCTGAAATAATAGCTCCATAAGTGTATGAAAGTGAAAACATCTATTGCCTCCATCGCTGGAAGCCCCTCACATGCACTTGCCAAATCCTTCCCTTGTTTTCCTCAGTGTAACTGCACATTTACCCTTTTATATCTGTGTGTTTATTCTGGGCCTGTTTTGGGAACGTATTCTAGTGGAATTACTACAACGTGTGTGTGTATTGCATTTGTGTGTTATTTGTATTTATCACTCATTGTTTGTGAAATTATCCATGTTGTTACATGTAGTTGTAGTTCATTTAATTCTATTTCTAGTACTATTTCATAAATATACTATATATTATTTATTCTACTGTTCAGGAATTTGCATTGTGCCTCAATGTCTATTTCAAATAATGCCATCATAAATATATTGCACATTTCTTTGATGCCATGTACCTGAATTTCTCTTAGGTTTTTACCTAGAGTTGTGTTCAATGGGTCACAGAATATGTGTTAACTATCTTTAATCTTTTGTGCTTCTTTAACCAATTTCAGGTGTTTTTAGCTATTTACATTTCTAGTAGTGTATAAGGCTTTCTGCTACTCCACATCATCTCTACATTTGTCAGGTTATTTTCATGTTAGCCATTTTACCAGGCAAGTTTTGTAATCTCATTTTGAAATTCTTTTATGTTTAAATGAAGTTGAGTACCTCTCTATTTTATTTGTAATTTTATACCTTATTTTGTGCAATAGCTGTTTCAATCTCCTATTTCTCTGGTATTGTTTTCTTTCTTTTTCTCTTCTTTTTTGCTTCCATAAAACTTTCTTTCTTTTTTTTTTTTTTTTTTTGAGACGGAGTCTTGCTCTGTCACCCAGGCTGGAGTGCAATGGCAGATCTCGGCTCACTGCAAGCTCCGCCTCCCGGGTTCACGCCATTCTCCTGCCTCAGCCTCCCGAGTAGCTGGGACTACAGGCACCCGCCACCTCGCCCGCTAGTTTTTGTAATATTTAGTAGAGAGACGGGGTTTCACTGTGTTAGCCAGGATGGTCTCGATCTCCTGACCTCGTGATCCACCGTCTCGGCCTCCCAAAGTGCTGGGATTACAGGCTTGAGCCACCGCGCCCGGCTTTCTTTCTTTATTTTGTGTTTTTCTTATTACTTAAACAAATCTTATATTCTGGAACATAACTCCTTTTTTAAGTAGTTTTCAACCTCATGGCTTGTTTTCAATTCTATTTGTCTTTTTGGTGAATAGAAAGTTGCCAATTTTGGTTAAGCTCAATTTATCCAGTTTTTGCTTCTGATCTATTTCATAAAGATAATTGTCTCTGTGGTATCTTTTATTTCATTGTTTTTGTGCATCTATAATCATTTGGAATACATATTTTTATGATTGTGAGGTAAGGATCAATATTTATTTTTATTTCTTCTTATTATTTTATTATGCTTTAAGTTTTAGGGTACATGTGCACAATGTGCAGGTTTGTTACATAGGTATACATGTGTGCCATGTTGGTTTGCTGCACCCATCAACTCATCATTTACATTAGGTATTTCTCCTAATGCTATCCCTCCCCCAATCCCTCACACCTCAACAGGCCCTGGTGTATAATGTTCCCCACCCTGTGTCCAAGTGTTCTCATTGTTGTTTCCCACCTATGAGTGAGAACATCTCACGGTCATTGGTTTTCTGTCGCGCTTGTGATAGTTTGCTCGCGGTGGTTTCCAACTTCATCCATGTCTCACCCTTTTTTATGACTGCATAATATTCCATGGTGCATATATGCATGTTTGCTTAATCCACTCTATCACTGATGGACATTTTGCGGGTTGGTTCAAGTCTTTGCTATTGTGAATAATTTTTCATAATAAGTACGTGTGCATGTGTCTTTATAGTAGCATGATTTATAATCCTTTGGATATATACCCAGTAATGGGATGGCTGGGTCAAATGGTATTTCTAGTTCTAGATCCTTGAGGAATCACCACGCTGTCTTCCACAATGGTTGAACTAGTTTGCAATTCCCACCAACAGTGTAAAAGCACTATTTCTCCACATCCTCTCTCAGCATGTCTTGCTTGTTTCCTGACTTTTTAATGATCACCATTCTAACTGGCATGAGATAGTATCTCATTGTGGTTTTTTGATTTGCATTTCTCTGATGACCAGTGATGATGAGCATTTCTTCATGTGTCTGTTGGTTGCATAAATATCTTTGCTTTTTAAGAAGTGTCTGTTCATATCCTTTGCCCACTTTTTTGATGGGGTTGTTTTCTTGTAAAGCGTGTTTTAAGTTCTTTGTAGATTCTGGATTATTAGCCCTTTGTCAGATGGGTAGATTGCAAAACTTTTCTCCCATTCTGTAGGTTGTCTGTTCACTCTGATTGTAGTTTCTTTGAAGATTTATTTTTACTACCATTTTTTGTTGGACTTTTAAAATGAGTTTGAAAATTGTTTCCTCTCTTCAATTTTTTTTTTTTTTTAAGAGTTTGAGAAAAAAATAACATTGATTCTTCTTTAAAAAGTTTGGTAGATTATCCGGGAAAGACATCTGGTCTTAGGCTTTTTATTTTTATTTTTTTGTTAGGAGGTTTGGATTACTGATTCAATCTCCTTACTAGTTATCATTTTGTTTAGATTTTTTATTGCTTCATGATTATGTCTTGGTAGTTTGTATATTTCTAGGAATTAATCAGTTTCTTTAAGGTTATTTAATTTGTTGGTATGTAATTTTAATAGCCTCTTATAATTGTGGCATCAGTTGTAATGCCACCTTCGCTATTTCTGACTTCCAGTCTCTTTGTTTTTTTCTTAGTTTAGCTAAGAAGCTTGTCAAATTTGTTGTTTTCTCAAAAATTCAACTAAGTTAAAAAACTTAATTTAAACTTTTTTCCATTTTATTTTTGCTCTAATCTTTATTATAGTATTTCCTCCCTTTGCTTTGGGCTTCCTCATTTGTCTTTTTTCTAGTTGCTTGGGTTGTTAAGTTTTATTTGAGATCTTTCTTCTTTCTTCATTTTAGTGTAGAGCATTTACAACTCCTTCTTTGTTTTGTTTTCATTTTTTTAAAGACAAGGTCTTGTGTTGCCAGGCTGAAATACAGAAGCACGATCATAGCTCCCTGTAAGTGATCTTGTGCCTTGGCTTACTAAGCACTGGAATTACAGAGGCGTGAGCCATAGGCTTGCCCAGCTTAATCTTCCTTCTTATTTTCCTTTATTGTATCATGTAAGTTCTGATGTATTGTGTTTTCATTTTTGTTTATCTTAACATATTTTCTCATTTCTCTTTTGATTTCCCCTTTGACCTACAGTCATTCCAAATTCTGTTGTTTAATTTCGTGTTCAGATTTTCCAGTTTATTACTATTGATTTCTAGTTTTATTCACTGTGGTCAGAAAAAGATATTCAGTAAGATTTCAACCTTCTTGGTGTTAAGACTTGTTTTGTGACCTGGCGTGTGATTTATCTGGAAAAATGCTCTGAGTATGTTTGAAGGCCTGTGTATTTGCTTCTGTAGGTGATTTTTCTGCATATGTCTGTCAGTTCCATTTCAGCTATAGTGTTGTTCAGTCTTCTCTTCCTTACTGATTTTCTGTCTGAATGTTCTATTCCTTATTCAAAGTAGGGTGCAAAATCTCCTACTACAGTCATATCACTTATGGATGGAATACATTCTGAGGAGAGTATCATTCTAGGAATTCATCACTGTGCAAACATGGGGAGTGTACTTAAATATTTACACAAATCTAGATAGTATATGCCTACAGACCTAGGCTACATGATGTATTGCTTCTAGGCTACAAACCTGTACATATGTTAACTGTACTGAATACTATAGGGAATTGTAATACAATGGTAAGTATTTGTATACTAAATATATCTAAACATCTAAAGACACAGTAAAACCATTGTATAGGTTTTTAAAATGGTACAGGGGTACTTACCTATGAATGGAGGTGCAGAGCTGGGAAATTCCTCTGGGTGAGTCAAAGCTGAATGGTGGTGGTGTGAAGGCCAGAAGGACATTCTTGTGCACTAATGTAGACTTTAAAACACTGTACATTGAAACACACTCAATTTATCAAAAATTTTCTTTTTATAGGCTTGTCATGGTGGCTCCATTACCTGTAATCAGCACTTTGGGAAGCTAGGAAGGAGGATAAGCTTAAGCCCAGGAGTTCAAGACCAACCTGGGCAATATAGTGAGACCCTGTCTCTAGAAAATAATTTTTAAAAATTAGCTAGGTGTGGTGACACACTCCTGTGTAGTTCCAACTACTCAGGAGGCTGAGGTGGGAGGTCTTAAGTTGAGCAGGTCAAGGCTACAGTGAGCCATGGTCATGCCACTGTACTCCAGCCTGAGCAACAGTGTGAGACTCTGTCTCAATTTTTTTTCTTTCTTCAGTAATAAATTAACCTTAGCTTACTGCAACTTTCCTTTATAAACTTAAAATTTTTAAACCTTTTGACTCTTTTGCAATAACACTTAGCTTAAAACACAAACACATTAAGCTGTACAAAAATATTTTCTACTTTATATCTTTATTTTAGCTTTTTTGATTTTGAATTTTTTAATTTTTTCACTTTTACTTAATTTTTTTGTTGTTGTTGTTAAAAATGAAGATATAAACACCTATACTAGCCTAGGACTGTATTGGGTCAGAATCATCAATATCATTTTCACCTCCATATCTTGTCCACTGGAAGG